CCCCCTTTTCCAAATTTTAATATCGACTCAAAATAATTTAAAAAGACAAATTACAATAAAACGGTTTATTATCCAACTATCAGAAATTTCACAACATGCCAAGGAAGAGAGGAAGGAGCAATTAAATAATCAAAGTTATAAAGGATTTTAAAAAATATATAAAAATGGGGAATATCGCACTTCTAACAATCTCTGCAAGTATGTGGGCTAAATTTAAAGAATCTGTGCTTCTCGCATGTACAACTGTATGTGGCCAGCTCACATGTTGGAAAACCTTCTGATTTATTCGTGTATGCACCAGACGGAAAAACAAAAAATATCGTGCATCCACAAACACTCCAATAAATAAATAGAATTGAAACGACACTTTGAAATGTTTTCCCGACAAAAATGAATAATAATATTATTATAATAATAATAAGTTTCAATAAAAATGATAAAATGTAAATTTAATTTTATCGTAACGAGTTTGCTTGAATTTCGTTTCTTCTGAGATCGCAGCAATGTGTGACAGGTAAGCTAGTTTTTTTATAAAGGAAAATTTATTTGAAATTTATTAATTTTGAAATTGAAAGGTGTGTGATTTGGATCTGTCAGAGAGAATCTGATTGACTGTTTATCACATCTGTTTATCACACTGACTGTTTATGACAATCTCATATCTGCGATTGAAGTTAGGTGGAAAAAAGTGCACCATTGCATTTTGTTATTTTTTTCAAAATTCTACCCTTATTTCATGTATCACATGATGTCATTTTCATTAAACATTTTGAAATGAATTCAAGATGATGGCCTCCAAGATGACAACTGTTCAGTTAACATACACATAGATGAGTGCTTCTAGGCATAGCGCATTTCTATCATGTCAAAATTTTTCCTGCCCAACTTAGTTTGATTTTATAAGGGTGTAAATGACTTTTGACTCATCCTGTATATCATACAAACTACTAGTATTAATTTTTAGGATTTAAATTTGATAATTTTAGGATTTTTCTCTTTTACAGTTAATAAAATGAATTATCAGAGTTTTCGTTTTCTAAATAGTTCATTTATTTTATTTAATTCTTTATTTAAAAATTTCAGAATGTCCTATGGATGTTAGTCATTACAACACACTGTTGAAAATTCATTTGGAAAATGAACACAAGTTTTCACCAACTGATTTTCTTGCAGATATGGAAAAGAAAGGAATTCAGCCAAATAGGGTACTACTGTTAAGGACTTAAATGCAAATATTTTAGTATTTGAAAATATAGGGTTATTAATTCAGAGTTAATTGTTTTAGGTAACATATCAGAGACTTATTGGACGATATTGTCAAGAAGGAGATATAGATGGTGCAAGGTAAATTTTTTTAATATTAACTGTAACTGAAATTAAAGCTATATTATTTATTTTAAAAAATATTTTGCTCTCTACCAAAAAGAAAATAACACACTTTGAGATTTCTCTCTTAAGATGTAACTAAAATTTTCACACACAGACTACAATCCAAATGATATATAAACGAATCAAACCAAACTGCTAAAATTTTAATTATTTTTTAAAATTATAAATTAAGTCTATACTAAATTTATTAGTAATTTAAGATAGCTATTGCTGTAAAGTTATTTTAATAAAGAAATTTTAAAATGTTGGAAGAGAAGATTAACCAGAATGGAATTTTAACCTACAACCTTTCAACCTTTGCAAAGTAGGCAACTCTGTCCCTCTGCAGACTTCTGATATGATCTTTTACATGTATGCATAATTGGGCTGCAATTTCAAAAAATTATAGACCTATAAATTTCCTCTGTTGTCCACTCATCCATCTTTCTTTAATCTCAAGAATGGAGTTAGATCAGTGTTTTTCAACCGGGGTGCTGCGGCGCCACGATTGGGGTGTTGCAAAGTTTAGAGCCTTTAGGCATTTTCTTGGAAATTTACTTAAGTGTAGTTCAAAATAACTCATTGTCAGTTCTATTTTGCTACGAGATATCTAGTAAGCAAAGAAACTATGACTAATCGCATGTTAATGTAATGTTTTACGCTACGTGTATGCACGACTTGTCACGAGTTCGCCCAAACCGCATTGCTTGGCCTTCCTGTTCCCAGTTCCAGTACCAGGCCAACCACCAGAGAAGAATGACGTGGACACGTGTGTCTTGTATATGCTTTAAAAAGCGTTGCATTGTTCTTTGAAAAGCATGTGGTTTCAATCACAAAGTAGGTGCATATTACAGTATTTTCATAGTATTCAAAAGCAATGATGACAAATAAACAATTTTTTTTATCATTATTTTAATTTAAATTTTTTAAATTGATATGAAAAAGATAAGAAAAAAATAATGAAATATTTATTTTATACATGCATCAGAATAGTATAAAAAAAGTAACAAAAATTGTTTATCAATAAAATGATAATATAAAATGATGATATATTTGATAATAAAACTATATTTAAAAAACAATAGCGAGACTATTATTTTACATGTAGGTATTTCAACAAAATTCAATGAACTTTATTTTGATTTTTAACTTAAATTTTGATTTTGAATACGTAGAAACACTTTTGCGTTGCGCGTAATATTCGTTTTCGCAAAAAATCATATTACAAATAATATTCATCTGTCCTATTAGTCCCCCCCTTATTCAGATTCTAGATCCACCGCTGGTCAAGGGTGTCACGATTTGTTATTTTTCAATTAGGTGTGCCACTCAATGAAAAAGGTTGAAAAACACTGAGTTAGATAGATGAAAGATGAGACCAGATATGGAAACTTTAATTGGGATCTCCTGCTCCTATTAACTGCATATGAATTTTCGATGCAAACTCATGTTATTTAAATTCAAAAGTTTTCCTCTGAAAGCAGTTAATAGATGACTGGCATGAATCTATTGTTAAAGAAAAAATATGATGTACAGAAGCAAGTCACTACTAATTTGAGGTAGACAGCATATATTTTAAATTAATTAAATTAAAAATATGATTAAAAATTGCAGCCTGGCATTGTGACAATNATATGATGTACAGAAGCAAGTCACTACTAATTTGAGGTAGACAGCATATATTTTAAATTAATTAAATTAAAAATATGATTAAAAATTGCAGCCTGGCATTGTGACAATGTCACAATAAATAATTGCTCATTTTGAATTATAAATTATTTATTCTAGTTGTTTGATTCATTTGTATTTACATAGGTAATATCTCAGTCACTGCAATTTTATTAACACTTTTGACCTGAACTCCATACAAGATATGGAAATGACTTTAACCACTCCAGGATGACACCCGTATCTCTTATAGATGTTTGTTTACTTTTGTTTTAAACATGTTTGCTTGAATTTTCTATGGCTGTAGACCAGGGGTTCTCAACTTTTTTTAACCCATGGATCTTTTCCTCTTAATTTTTTTTGTGGATCCCCCATACATTGAACAGAAAAAAACCTTATATTTTTTTTGTTACATTGTTTCAAATTGGAAAAATGTCTTAATATTGAAGCTCTGAATTTCAGAAAAAGTAACTACTGTATTTATGAACTAGCACTTTTAAATACCTCTTACCTTGTCAAGATGGAGTTTTGCACAGAACTGAAAGGTTAGGGTTAAAATAAACTGATTACCTATATACTGGAGGGAGACTAAAGTTTATAGCCTCCCTCTCTAATCTTCAAGATCTGGAACAAACTCATGCAAAATGTTCAGAAATGTCACTGTCAAGTGACATGATGCTGATGGTATAAGATTCTCCTAACAGACCCCAGTTTTATAATCTCTCTTTCACCTTTGTCAATGAGATATATATGTTGTTTACATATTCAATATTTTAAATAATTTATATTTTAACCCTTATGCAAGAAATGAGTAATAAATAAATTGACAATATACTGTATATACTGTAGAAATTTAATTCTCAGTAAAACAATTGTTCTGAAGTAGAATTACCCTATAGACCACTAAAATATCACCGTGAACACCAATTATATATATTTTTTTCTGTGGACCTCCAGCAATGTTACATGGACCCCAGTTGAGAACCCCTAACTTAGACAATACCTCAACCCTACTTCCCTTCCTATTGTGTATAATGATGTATCTTTAGCAACCTCTCTCCTTCAAACTATATATGTAATTAATGGACAGCTCCAAACAATACTGATACTATAGTATCTAAGAATACATTAATAAAGTTTTGAAAATTTATATAATTTTTTTAGGAAATATATTATTTAAAATATTTTTAATTAGATAAGTGTAATTTTATTTGCAATTATTTTCCGATATATACTTTAAGCATGTCTTTTGTTCTTGCTAAATGCAATTAAAAACAAAGATTCACAGAAATTTTATGAAATTACAATTTGTACTTCATTAATTAAACAATAAAATCATAAAATTTGAATGGAAAGACTCATTCATAAGAAACTTATTGGTAAATGTTAGTTTTTAACTGCTAAATGATCATTTAAATTATTGATTAAAATGATGAATTTAGCAAATTTTTATATTTTACTAACCCAATTTTAAGATACTTTCTGAGAATTTTTAACATGTAAGATATAACATAGATTAAATTAAAAAATTTGTTAAAATTTCCCACGATTATTAAATGCAAAGGATATGATTGTATTCTTCACCCTGGAGTCACTTCCTTTTCCAAGATGATATATCAAATGTGTCACCAGGAACCTAATGAATAAATTGCTGTTGGACGTGGAGATTTACTTTACCAAAAAATGGCAATAGAAGAAAGAAGGGAGGACCCCCGAATAAAAAACAATGTCCGGTGATGAGATGAGATTTTGTCTGTCGTCATCGAAAGTTTGCCCTCTCTGGAGATGTACCAGAGCTTGGATACTTTACACCCATTGACCTTACCATACTCCCCCAGAGATGCTCCTGATACCCGAACAATCAGTTTACCTATTATCAAGAGCCTTCCATCAAGTCAACATGTCATCAATCCATCAAGTCATCAACTGATCAGCAACAAGGAACATCCTCAGATTCTCTACAAGGTATTTATCTGCCCACGAATCTATGTAAACTCTCTCTCAAGACTAGGACTAGTGAGGATAGTTACAATAGTCTTTAATATAATATACAAAGGGAGGGCCAATAGTTATAATATACAACATGATTGACAATAACTAATGTTCAACCTTTCAATTGTAAATAGCCTATATTCAGCTTATTTGTAAATAGCTTATGATATATAAATGGGTATTGTTTTTCGTAATCGAGTTGTAGAGTGCACTTCTTTCGCTTGATCCATCTCCATCCCAAATCCAAGTACCTACACAAGCGATCAACCACTTGTGCAAAAAACGAACTTAACAGCTATTGAGGTTTCTGTGTCTATCCTTAAAGACACAGTGGTGTCAGTCCTGACAACTTTGTCATCGTTGATGCTATGTTGACCCTTTGGTCCCGTGGTGCAGAAGCATAGGGGGTGTTTTGTGCATTGTCACATATGCAAGCCAAAATGAGAAAAAAGGCAGCTATTCATCACCTCATTACAACCCACAAGATGAACAGAAAGATTAATGCTAGGAGATCATATAAGCATCACCTGACTGGTTCTAAAAGCAAATACATGGCTACATTAGACAAAGAATACATCTATCTCAAATTGTAATGGAGTCCACAGGATTTCTACATTCAACTTAGGCAAGAAGTACTAGAAAGTTGGACTATAAAATGCCCTGAAAGATGGCAAGATGGATTCAAGGTAGTTTGAGATATGATGGGAAGAGAACTAATAAGAGTCCCAAAAAATATAAAGTCAATTCAGCTTACTTCATCTCTTATGTGTTAAAACTATATTTGGAAGAAATCCCCTAGAAGTATCCTGAAGAGAAGAACAAGTTTATCCCACAGCTTGCAGTTATACTGCCTATCTGGAAGAGTTTAAGCACCAAGGTGGAATTAACTACATAGATCTGAAGGACATTCCCACCAAGTCACCTGACATTAGTCCTATGGACTTTTTCAATTTGGGTTCTTGAAATAGTGTCTTTTTTTCCAAAATGCCACTACTGCAGCTAGTCTTTGAAAAATTTTCAAGAAGGAACAGTCCAAACTTCAGACTGAAAAATACAGCAGAGTTTTCAATTCCTGGAAAAGACACTGTCAAGATGTTAGCAAAGATAAGGTGATAAGACATCCCACATTCTCCCATTTATCCTGCTGGGATACCTACATATTCCACTTTCCATTCAGAGAATGAAAATACAAGGAAACAAGCTCAACAAGTAGACCTCATTGCCATATTACAGTCCATCCATAATGTATGTTTACATTTACAGCAGACTATGCATCAGTGGAAGTGCATGCTGAAATGTATTGCTGAACCATGGGG